ACCGGACACCGGTCGTGCCGGTGGCTTGCTCACTCTGCTACACGTTCACCCTCCCTACGCCCACTACGTCTACCCCGCCGGTAGCGCCGGTGAACCCCCCTCTCTCTTTATATGTATATATATATGTGTGTATATAAAGCTTTGTCGTTTTTTGGGTGACGATCGATGCAACTAAACGGAGAGGTCGAAATCTAAGCTGCAGCGGTGTTTGCGGCGACATCCGTGCCGGAATCTGTGAAGAAAGAACGAGAAGAAAGAACGGCGGCCTTGTTCACAAGGGCCTTGCAGATATGCAGAGGGAAAATGGTATATATATATATACACACTCTCTCTATATATATCATCATATTGATTGGGTACGTTGATTGAGAGTGTAGGTGAAGGCAGAGACGTTGGTACTTGAAGGAGATCCAAAAGACGTGATCTGCCAGGCCGTCGAGCAAATGCACGTCGACCTCCTCGTCATCGGAAACCGCGGACTCGGAATGATCAAAAGGTGACAAAATAGAAGTGATAGTTTTTTTTATTTGTTTGCCGATATATATATGTATACACACACATGACACATTCGTGAATGGCAGGGCGTTCCTAGGGAGCGTGAGCGACTACTGTGCCCACCACGCGAAATGTCCCATCCTCATCGTGAAGCCGCCTCGAGAGTCGTCTACTTCTACTGCTACTGCTACGGCTAGTTCTAAGTAAGATGGCCAAATACACGAGCAGAAATCAATAAAGCAAGCTGTTACCCTTTTTTTCCATTTCTTCTCCTGTTGTGTATATATGTATGACCCACCTACAATGTAGTTGTTCTTTTCCGTAAAGTTTCGTTCGCCGTATCTGCTGTATTAACTGCTAAACTGCTCTAAACTTGTCGGAATCCGGCAATTGCTTGTCACTTTCCACCCATATAATGGGATAACTACAAAGTGTAGTGAAGGTCTTTGAAAATGTCAGATGGAGCAAAACAAGACAGATACAGCACAAGCCAAGTTGGGGGGTGGTTTTCTTCGGACTTGTTAGCCCTGCAAGCAAAAGATTGTCTCGAGTATAATATTGCATGCAGAATTGGATTTTTAAGACAAAACCCTAATCGGAACCGAGATTTACGTTTACCTGTTGGCTCATTAGGATCTCCACAGCTACGGTAGCGTCATCGTCAGCAGCAGCGAGCGCCACCTCCACTTGCGTCTGATATCAATCGCAGAAATATGATAATTATTGTTCGGGATAATTATCATGTTTCGGTTTTCAAGAGTTACAAGATTCACGGTTTAACTAGATATAAACCAATGAAACGTACCCTGTCGAAGCCCATGGAGACGAGGTTCTTTATTTGTTCTTCGGAAGCAGTAACAAGTCCCTGCATTCAACAGCTCAATGAGCTATAGATTTACTTCACATGCTTAGAGGTCTCGACTTGGAGACAAAATACCTGAGACTGTGGAGGGGCTCCCGTGTTCGGTAGAGGCGCCTGCCTGCAGAGAGAGAGAGAGACCATGTGAAAACCATGCTTTGACAAAAGAGAGACAGTAGTCGATACTGATCGAGATATGTCTTTTAGACATGACACGAACAAAGAGACCAGACCAATAACGATAACATCGAACGTTTCTTCATAGTTTACGTTGTGGAATGATCCCAGAGTTGTGTAAATTGACAAAATCTTGAAACTTTGAAGAGAAACGTTCAGATATCGATACCTTCCGACTGAAGGCGGGTCGACTGTAACAGTGGCAGCTGCATCCGTGACGCGGTCTGGACTGTCATCCTCCAGCAGTCGAGCCTGGAGGTTAGAGTCTACATTGCTGGCGGGGACAGTGGGAACACGAGTTGAGCCGAGGGTTCTACCTCTGCCAGGAAATCTGCCGTCTTCCATTGACTGCACGGAGAAAAAAAATCGCGGAATCAATGCGAAGTAATCACCAGCAAAAGAAAGGAAGAGGAAAAGCATGGTTCCAATTAATAAAACCCCCGCTCAAGTGACACTGCACAACAAAAATTGCTTGCTTGTACCTGAGCTGATGTCTCCCTCTGTGGAACCCATGAAGTCAAGGATCTCCAGGCATTTCCTGAAAAAAGACCCCTGTTCACTTAAAATTTCAGCCAGGTGCTTTCCAGGTAATCATTTTCAGATGTGGATAGGACATTGTATTGTACCCAGATGACGTGTTTTGCCCAGAATAGGTGGGAATGCAGCTGGAAGGATTCCCGCCCGTGCACAGTATGAATTTGGGCCGCCTTACCAAACTAGACTGGAAAAGGATCAAGATCGGTTCAGGACGATAAAATCAATAAGGCATAAGCAAGGGACGAGCTAATACACAGGCCTGCCGTTGAACAATATAGTAAGGGTATTAAATCGTTGGCAGTAGTGACCAGCATAGCTGTAAATGTTGACACCGCCACTTGATGGTAAACACAAGCCTTCAGATTTACTGATGGCTTCCCAATAGCAAAAGAACACATGTTTCAGATGTTAAGTGTCTGGTGTACTTACCAGCCATGATGAGGATTCAACAGCGGAGAAAAAGGAAGAGCCAGGCATCAGGAAGTTCAAGATGCCGTAGGAATCTGAAATTTGAAGCGGTCAATATATTAGTAGCCACAGTACTTGCAGTTGTAAGTGAGAGAAGGTAGTGGGACAGGGAAAAAATCATACATGCAAATCCAGATAAAATGCCACATAGGTGCCCGAGCAGCGAAACATTTGTCATGAGGAGCTGGAATGCTATCAATAAGATCCATGGATACCTGCATACATACCAATTGTACGCCACACTTGTTAATAGAATTGCAACCATGATGATGAGATGTTAGAGATCAAGACACTGGGCTTACAATTTAGCTGGCACATTGAAGAGGCCGAACACACTGCACAAAGAAAGAAAACAGCAAACATCAGCTCCGAAACCAAGAGATTTAATCTGAGATACTGAATGAACCACAAATGTAAAAGATTAAGCAAAATAACCAAAACATGGAACTACATATTTGTGTTAATAAATATCAGTGCACAATGCATTTTGCACGGGTGTACTGTATACAGTATTTACCTAGTTCGAAGAGGATAATCCTATGATTCTAAGTTCTAACGCAGGCCCATGCTTTCTGGCACTATCACCCTCAAACTAGATGCAAGCAATATAAGTAGTAGCTACAGGAAAACTAACCTCCTCGAGTGGACTCCGCTGAGACTTGTCTCTATGACAATCATAGAAAACAAGATCCCCGAAAACCCTATTGCACATTCATTCATGAGCTGATCATATGGATGAAAAGGATTATATGCCACCAGGGATGCAATAAGAAGATGCAATACGGCATTGGTTGTTGCCAGCAGGATTGTCAGGTAAAGTAAACGGACAGACCCCATGATCCTCTCCAGATCAGAACCCATGGGAACCAATGCCATCATGTTGAACAAAACATGAAGCAACGATCCATGAAAAAGAACAGATGTGTAAAACCTATAAACTGCAGACAAAAGACAACAAAAAAAGAAGAATGAACAAGAGAAAAGGCATCAGGAAATGTTACATGGTTCCCTTTACATGCAATTCCCAAGGTTCAAACCCCATTGGGCCAAATATTATCAAAAAAATTCCCAAGATTCTGAGAACATACCTTGAAACCGAGATAGAACTGCCGAGGGTAAGAAGCAGACTTCGTAAAAAGAGTCATATCCAGCCAAGAGGCACACCACGTAAATGACCCCACAAACTACAACCACGGATGAAGTAAGGAACGGTATAGAATCCCACCACTGCCCAACTCTAGTTGGAACTCCAGCCTGGGCAGAAAAAAAAGAAGACAGAACCCAGAACAATTCACAAATCAGATCAGTATAAGCCGCAACCAAAGTAACCAAACCCTAATTATAAGATCCCAAAGTAAACAAAGCTAAGTATGTTCCCTTCCTAATAGTGCAGATATTTACACAAGCAGGTTGCTAAGGAGGGCAGCAACAGAACAATCCATAACCATTCACGCAGTTCAATGAATCACTGAAACGAGACAACTAAGGAATCAAACTGAGAAATGAGGAGGCAGCTAAAACCCTAACTCGATTAGGCTCTGGACAAGCAAATGAGAAAAAAAAAGCATAAGAAATCCTCCGACAACGAAAAATTTCCCGTTGATCAGAAGTTTTGCCGGATCGCAGCACAACCTAGTCAACTCTGCGAACGAATTGTCCGGGGTGTCAACAATTCATCTCCTGACCACAGCTAGTTTACTCACAGTTTCTCAACAACAAAACTAAGTAAAGAGACCTCAAGAATTTCTGGAAGATCTTCACGAAACAGAACGAAAAGGATATCAGATCTCACCTCGGTAACAATGTTCGGTCTCATTTCCGGTGATACAACAGAACTCTTCCCTTCTCTGCTGAGATTCTGAATTCAACTACCATTGGAAACCACTGCACTCCTCTCTCCCGTTTTCTTCTTCTCGAGATCTTAATTTCTTAGGCCGGCGAACCGGGTGGGGCCCAGATCTAACCGGCATTTTATTTTTTTCAAGGATTTTTTGATTCTCTGTAGTCGCGACCACAGGAAGACATAAAGTTCTTCCAATAGTGAACGACCACGTGGAATATCTCTTCAACCATGAAGAGATGACAAATAAAAAAGAAAAGGAAAAGGAAAGCGAAACCACTGCACTCCTCTCTCCCGTTTTCTTCTTCTCGAGATCTTAATTTCTTAGGCCGGCGAACCGGGTGGGGCCCAGATCTAACCGGCATTTTATTTTTTTCAAGGATTTTTTGATTCTCTGTAGTCGCGACCACAGGAAGACATAAAGTTCTTCCAATAGTGAACGACCACGTGGAATATCTCTTCAACCATGAAGAGATGACAAATAAAAAAGAAAAGGAAAAGGAAAGCGATTGCCAGTACTCTAAGTTTAGGAAAAAAAAAAAAAAAAAAAAAAAAAAAAAAAACGAAGGACTCCATTTTCTCCCCGCCAAGGAACACAAACGGCAGGGAGGGATTGAGGTTTCATGAGCATCTTTAAAGCGAAAATGGCCGCCATTGTCGCTCTCTCATACGTTCCCATCTAATCCGAGAGCTCCCCCCACACCGTTCCCCCGTTCCGTACGCTTTCTCTCCTTCGGCATTGCCATTTCCTTTTTGAACCTCTTCTTCCCCATTTCTTCTCTTGGGTTTCTGTTTGGCTCAAACTTATCAAGGTCTGTTTCTACGAACTTCTCCTCTGTTTTGTTTTTCATTTTCGTTTCCGGTTCGTGGGTTTGTGTCTGAACGCTGGTACTTTTCCCCTTGAGGGCTCTGTTTGTCGTGAAACTTTGGTTATTGAGGAAGGCAAAGCATGAAAATTTAGAAACAGGGTGGTGAAAGATTGCGTCTTTTTGAAATAATGGAGGAACGGGTTCTGCTTCTCTGTTTTGCGATTTTGTATTGTGATATTGCATATGATAATGTGTTTGATATAATGTCTCAATGTCGATGTCTAAATATCTGAAATTTTGTTACCAAGGAAAGAAGGAAGCCATAGAAATGCTTGAATCTGGTTCTGGGTTCAGGTCTTTGAGTGGTTTTGGATGGTTAAGTTCTATAGGCAAAACAGAAAAGCTGCATTGATGTTCTTTGTCATTTTCAAACAAAACCCCAGCGTGTATATACATATCTAACGTTATCTCTGGCTTTTGCATTCGTGGTCTTGCAGTCATCTGTACCCCATAGGCCCTTTCCTTTTCCTTGGTATTGGCTGCAGTCTTGCTTTCCTGAGATATTGAAGTGTCATCATACAGATAATCACCTCATCCGGAAAAAAAATGGGGTTGTCATTTTCGTGCCCCCTCGAAGATTTAGATGACTTAGACAGACGTTTTGAGGCAGTGCTTGTTAGATCCTTGAGTCTTGGCTCCGCCGAAATGAAAACAGTTCTCCGATCAATCAGCTTTAACGGTCATGACTCGGAATCAACCCGCCCTGAACCCCACCATAGCACCCGAAAGATGCAATACAGACGGTCTTTTAGCCTCAAAGGAAGACGACGATCCATAACTCCTACAGGGGATATGGAAAAAAAGTTTTTCGAAAGACTTTCTACTGTTAAGAAAGAATATACGGGAGATAAGCTGCAAAGATTGTTGGCTTCATTCAATGACGATTTTGGTATAGAATCACCAGCTTCCGGCGATGGAAATGACCAAGCTGCATTAAAGTTGCAGAAGGTTTACAAGAGTTTCCGAACTAGGAGAAGGCTAGCTGACTGTGCTGTAGTCGTCGAGCAAAGATGGTAATAATGTTCAGTATAATTGTTCAAATGATACGTAGAAGGGATGATCTATATGTTAGCTAATCACTAGAGTTTGCAGGTGGAAGCTATTGGACTTTGCTGAACTCAAACGAAGCTCAATATCATTCTTTGAAATCGAGAAGCAAGAGACTGCAGTTTCACGCTGGTCAAGAGCAAGAACAAGAGCTGCCAAGGTAAGCTTAGGCCTAACAGGCACATCCGATGGTGATACGATAGTTTTGTCATGCTCCAATCTTGTCTGATTTCGAACGATTTCACACAGGTGGGTAAAGGCTTATCAAAGGACGAGAAAGCTAGGAAGCTGGCCTTGCAGCATTGGCTTGAGGCAGTAAGTACATGACCGTACGATCTCTCTATTTTCTTGCTGGATTTGTATTTTGTTTTAACGGCATACATGTTCTGATTTTCTCGTTAACAGATTGATCCCCGCCATCGTTATGGTCATAATCTGCAATTCTATTATCATGCATGGCTGCACTGTGACAGTAAACAACCCTTTTTCTACTGGTAAGTTTCTTCCGCAGAATCCAAAAGGCACAATGGTTTTCATAAAGCCTCTGAATCACGAGCTGGCTATCGAAACGTGGATGTGTAGGCTTGACATAGGAGAAGGAAAAGAATTCAACCACGAAAGATGTCCAAGATCGAAGGTTTACCAGCAATGCATCAGATATCTTGGACCGGTGAGTCTCACCCCTCTAATCTTCTCTGTTGCTTGTCCAACCAATCCCATTGTTAAGCACTTCTAATGTACTTGATGTATTCCTTGTAACACAACTTGTTGGACTGTCTTTTTCTTGAAATGTCGTGTTAAGAATCTTCTTGGACGTTTTTTTCCCCCCCCCCCCCCAATTTTTTTTCTTGTGAGCAGACGGAAAGAATGGCGTACGAAGTAGTAGTTGAGGATGGGAGTTTTGTCTACAAGCAAAGCGGGATACTTCTTGACACAACAGGAGGTCCTCCAGATACGAAGTGGATCTTTGTACTGAGTGTATCCAAGATAATGTACGTTGGAATGAAGAAGAAGGGTAATTTTCAGCACTCGAGTTTCCTGGCAGGCGGGGCAACATTATCTGCCGGAAGACTAGTGGTTGAAAACGGTATCTTGAAGGTGGGGAAAAATGATCTTTCTCTTTTGTTTGCTCGTTTGTTCTGATGCAAAGGGCGAGGTATTGTTTTTTTTACCCGATTTGAGAGGATTTCTCTGGATTACCCTTTCAGGCTGTTTGGCCTCACAGTGGACATTATCTTCCGACGGAGGAGAATTTTCAGGCATTTGTGTCTTTTCTCAGGGAGAACAATGTCGACCTCACGAATGTACAGGTAAAACTTTACCATTGCTCACTCAAGGGTCTGACTATGGTTTTGAGTGATTACTGAACTGTTACTCTTGTTTATCTGCAGAGGAGTACAGATGAAGGCGATGGAGAAGCCATTACCAAGGTCAAATGCACGATGGTGAGAGCCAAAGGGACAGAAGAGGAGCCGAGCGAGTTCAAGGATGCCGAGACAGATGAAAGCTTCTCAGAAGGGAACACCGATCCATCTGAACTCGGGAAACCCAACAAACCCAAGTCATCAACTTTCTCAAGGTTCCACTCACGCCTTGCAAGACTGGAAATCCCCGATAGGGGCGACGTGTATGACATTTTCAAAACGGAGTCCCTCCCCAAAACCTGCCGTGATGAGGAAGAGGAAGAAGAAGAGGAAGAAGAAGAAGAAGAAGAAGAAGAGACCTCGTCAGAGGACGGGTACGAGACAGCAGAAGAATCACTCATACTGGAGGAAGAGTTTGCATTCCCGAAGTCAAATCTGTTCGACGAGGATGAAGAAGAAGATGAGAGGCCCGTCCCGAAGGAGAAGATAATGAAAAGGATAGATTCACACAAAGGAATGAAATCATACCAGTTGGCTCAGCAGCTGCATTCGAGGTGGACGACAGGTGCTGGCCCGCGAATCAGCTGCATGAGAGATTACCCTTCAGAGCTTCAGTTCAAGGTTCTTGAGCAAGCGCAGTTATCGCCAAGCTCGAACAGTCACAGTCCATCACCTCGTACCCCTCCGACAAGAAGAGGAACAAGCCTCGGGAGAAGTCCACTGGCTCGAGAAACTGGAGAGACTATAGATGTTGTTTAATTTGCAGCAAGGAGTCACGTATCGAGTTGACCGGCTGGGTTCTGTTCTTGGGTTACTTGCGGCGCAAGGTAGGGCAGAAAGAAAAGAGGATCTCGGCAAGGATCACGTGTTTTGAGTTCCTTGATCTCCAAGTCACCTACCATTTTGTGTTATTTTTTTCTTTTGTAGAAATGTTGTCACAAACTTTGAAATGCGAATTGCCTTCAATATGTTATCTCGAAATTCAACGTTTTTTTTAGAAATCCACATTTGTGAATATGTGATAACAAAAACTATTTTGATGAAAAAATCAACTAAAAATCAAAAACTTCATTTTTTGGATTTACAAATTCTACAAAAAAAACAAAAAACCATAAATTAAAATCCAGAAAACAAAAACTCAAAATAGAAACAATCGTTTTCGTAATTATTTTTTGACCCCGTTTGCTATTTCTGCTTTTATGTGGATCCTTCGTATGTTCGGATTATTATGGAATGCGATAACTTTAAATGTGATGTTTTTAATTGCTAATCTCTCAAGTTTGACCATTTCAAAGCGAGACTAATTGAGGGGTGGTTCCAATGTAATAAAATTCGTTTATAAGGGTAATAATTTAATACTTGTCTTATCTTTTGGTCGTTGATTCTGTGTTTCAGAACCGGTGGCTCTGATTTTGTCAACTGCCTTGGAATCGGAATGTTCCGTTTTCTTTTCTTTTTTTTTTCCTTTTAAATTTAATTATATTATATATGTGATTTTCTCTTTTTTTCTTTTAAATTTAATTATGTATATTATAATATAATATATGTGTGAGTGGATATCATGTGTCTCTTTCTGCCAGCAAATATCCAACGGAACTCCACCCCCTCGACGACGGATCTGGAAATTTCTTCACGGAATCACGATTCACGAATGATGTTTTCCAAGAACAAAATCTTAGGTCTTTGACTGCTTTCGAATCCCGGATTCATCTTCCCTCAGATATTCAGCCAAATCTCTGTCCACGACTTCATCGATCCCTCCTCTCGTTGGAAGCGGCAGAGAAAGAGGAGGGAAGGAAATAGAGGAGGAGGAGGAGGAGGGGGAGGAGGAAGAAGAAGAAGAAGATTCGAGAAGGATCAATGGAGGACGCGACAATATGGCAAGGGTTGTTCCTATGCGGGATTGTGTCGTGGATCTGGGTTTCTTCTTATTTGCGATTGACCCAGAAATTTAGATCTCTCCTCCAACCCTGGGTCACTCGTCAGGTCGTCGATGGCGCTCCTTTCATCATCAAGATCCAGGTACCTTCAGAGGACACAACACGAACCGTTTCGAAACCCATGTAGCTGAAGACGCTTATATTTCTGTAACTTTGATCTGGAGATTCGATTTTCTCGTTCTAATTCCTTGCAGAAGCATCAGAATTCGGTGCTGGATGCTTTCTTCTCCGGACTTTCGTGTGTTGTTTCAGTGCCATTTTACACGGCGTTCTTGCCTTTGCTCTTCTGGGTATGTTCCGAATTGCTGATTGATATTATCCTCTAAAGTTTTATATCATTATATGCAAATGTCATCATCCATAGATTTTTTTGATCCGACAACCTGGAGACAGCTCTACTACATTGTTTCACATTGAGATCAGATGTATAAATAGTAACATTGAAGATTCTAATCGATAAGAGGAATAACTGAGAAGTATTGCAGAGTGGGCATGGCAGATTGGCCAGACAGGTGACACTCTTAATAGCCTTCTGTGACTACTTGGGGAACAGCTTAAAGGTAGTTCCTTTTTGGGTTCTGTCCCACTTTCTTTGTTTTGAAGCCAAGCTTAATCGTTTTTAGTTTACATGGTCTTCTGTATTTAGGGTTTATGTTTGGTATGGGTGTATAGGATGTGGTATCAGCTCCACGACCCAGCTGCCCTCCGGTTAGAAGGATTACAGCTACAAAAGATGAGGAAGACAATGCAATGGAATATGGCTTGCCTTCTTCTCATACATTAAACACAGTGTGTTTATCCGGGTATGGTATGCGTAAATTGTTCATTAATTCGTCGTAAATGCGTGCAGTCAAACCACAGAGAAGCAAACCAGACTCTCGTTTTTAGTTTGATTATCATGAATACATGGAACCAGCTAAATACCCTGATGAATCATTTGTTACACACTTCAACTGATGTCTTACTATCCTAGAGCAATATTGTTGGCATGCATTGGATATGTTGTTATTGACGGATCAATATGATGCTCCTCGATTTTCGATGATTTGAATCGATATGGAACTTATTAACACTTAAATTATCATTATTGTTGTGGATGAACATATGCTTTATGATCAAGCAGATGGACTTCCCACAGCACAGGAGTCTAATTGTTCTCTCATCCTTTTCAGATATCTCCTTCACTATGTGTTGTCTACTTTGGACAATGAAAGCACGTCTATTCTATATTGTGGGATCGCCCTCGCTTCCCTTTTAGTAGGTCTCATTGCTTTCGGTAAGATCAAGACTCGTACCTCATCAATGGCAAACTTCTCTTTCTGTGATTATACGACTGCTCAACTGAAATCATTGTTTTTCTTTCTAGGAAGGATTTACTTGGGCATGCACAGTGTGATCGACATCATCAGTGGTCTTGCCATGGGACTGGTGATTCTAAGCTTTTGGCTTACTGTCAATGAACAAATTGATAATTTTATTACCTCAGAAAAAAATGGTAGGCTTCACTAACATTATATATTTTTGTCCCATCACACGAATAAACACCAAATGACGAGTATCAGCTCTATAAAAAAGGCGCTATCTCTTTGTGCAGTTAGCTCATTCTGGAGTGCCCTTTGTCTACTAGTCTTATTTGCTTACCCAACACCCGAGTTCCCAACTCCAAGCTACGAGTACCACACAGCATTCAACGGTGTCACATTGGGAATAGTAAGCATTAAGCCGTATCTGTCTTACCTCTAGAACATATGGAAGAGTCTATCTCCATAGCTGAAGGGCATCCATACATGATACAGTTGCAAGATTGTTATGTATGCGGACGGAATAATGGCGGGTTTTTCTTGAATAGGTAACGGGAGTGCAGCAGACGTATAGCCAGTTCCACCACGAAGCCGTCCCACGAGTCTTCTCCAAGGAACTCCCGTTTCCAGCCTTCATTGGAAGAACCCTAGTGGGGATACCGACGATACTCATAGTGAAATTCTGCAGCAAATCCCTCGCGAAATGGGTCCTACCCAATGTATCTAACGCGCTAGGAATTCCGATAAGGTCGAGCACTTACATCCCGAAACTCAACAAAGGGACTGCGGATGGGAAGAAATCGGACGAAGCGAAGAACTCGGGGTATCTGCAGAAGCTATGCGAGTTTTTGAACCAAGACTCGTTCGACGTGGACACCGGAATACGTTTCCTTCAATACGCAGGTCTCGCTTGGTCAGTCGCAGATCTTGTCCCTTCCCTCTTCTTTCACCTAAACTTGTGATTATTCACTTTTTGTCCTAACGTGTTATCAGGTATATATACATATATATATATATGCATGCACACATACTTGTGGCTCCTTCGCTACTTCTCATCTGACTGTTCCACTTTATGGTTTGGCATAAAAATACACGGAAGAATGAGAGAAAATAGACACAAATATGGACACCCAGAGACAATGTCATGGGTATTTTCTTTTGACAAAGGAAGTGTCTTCTTCTATAATAATAATAATAATAACAATAATACACTATTGCATGGAAAGGAGGGGCCTAAATTGGTATTTGAAAAAAGAAAAAAAAAACAAAAGCAAAACATGAACAACAATGCGTAGAATCATAAAGGGGGAAATTTGCTGGTTTTTTTCTTTCATCGGGAGGGCATTTCCATTCAGAGGAAGTAGTCAGGTGTCCTTCGGGTAACATCAGGTTCTCCTCTCCTCGGTGCTGGTTCAAACTGCAATCACCGACAATAGCCCTCTTCTTGTTACTTGCGTCCCAAGGAAAAAATTGATCAAACACACTCTCGTGTTACAGATTAGATGATCATGAGAGAAAGATGATGATAAAAGACCTGGATGAATGTGTGGCCTCTGCAGTCATCCACCTCAAGAATAGAAGCCATGTTCCCACAACGATAGCAGTAGTTTGGCGCACTGAATATCGTTACCACCTTTTGTTCCTGTCCAAACGGAGGAAACTACTCAATGAGCAAACGATTCTTTAGACTGAGCACAAAGTCATTCCAAGGGAAGAGAATGTCCGATTGGATTACGTGTGCCCAGTTGAATCCATCCATAACCAGCTGGTGGGCTCGGGCGATGAGTTTTAAGCTGTTTGTGTGATTGAATTGCTCAGATATGTCCTGTAGGGAGAAACATAATCGGAATTAGACCACTCGCTGGAGAAAGTAACGGACTCGGGATGGCCTCCAAACGTAGAATTTGTATTTTTACCTGACCAAATGTGTATCCAGCACCACGAGGTGAGATACCCCAACCACAACGGTCATCGGGATCAGACCATAACAAATCACACATAGGCCCTTCGTGCGGAACTTCTTGCACTCGGTCAAAGTTCCTTATGTTGTCAAGGGTTTCGATAGATGGGGACAATCCACCATGAAGACAGAATATTTCGGATTCAACCTGCAAAAAGAGGAAATAAGATATCAGAAACATAAACTGATGATTTGGTAGTGGTAAAACTCCCTAGCGTACATTCGGCTCAGTGAGACAAGTCATAATTAAAAAAGACATATAAAAATACATGGTTGTTGTGACTAACAGTAACAGATGCAATTTAAAAATCTCTATCTACCGCATCTTAAGAAAAAGTACACCTATTTACAATCTAGGCACATATTTGGTCAATGAATCATCTATGAGATAGAAGAGTACAGGGTCAATGAATCATCTATGAGACAAAGGTGCAAGGTGATGTAAAGGGTACTAACCAAGGCAGTCAGTGGGAAATAGTCAAAGAGGTCTGTGAATATTTTCCATACGTTGGCATTGCCATACCTACGAGTAGGAGAAAAATGTTAAACAAATTGCAATAGACATAACCCAAATGTGCTTCCTGCTAGCTAAAAGGGGAAATACATGTCGAATCAGATGCATTTTAAGCACCAACGCTGGAAGACTACAAACTGCAGACGTAAATAATATCACATTAGCTTATTCTAACGAGCAACCAATTAAGAGCCTGAAAGGATCAAAACAAATAAGCAGAAATTAGGAAAAATAAAAAGAGCATACATAACAACAACAACAAAAGGAAAAGTGTGAATGATATCCTAACGAGCTAGAAGGTTTCTAGACATGACTGATGTACGTTAATAATAACAGCTTATACAAAATATAGATGTTTGCCAGAAGACTCACTTCCGCAGACATTCGTCATAGAATCCATAAACCTGAGTGATCTGCGAAAGGGAAGCAAACATACAAGGTATTTTTAATGTCAAGCCTAAAACAATAAAGAAATAAGTCAATAAACTAAATAAATAACCTAATTGATAACATGGACAAGGGCAGGGTAGAGAAAATGACATCGGCCGATGGCTCACATAAAAATATATGCATCCAAGATCTCTCCAAGGACGAAAACATGGTGGAATAACTATCTCCGTATAGCACTTAACTCAGAAGCTGATCGTACAACTGGAAACAAAGGAATGAGAGCATAAAACAATTAGTATACCTGACGACTTTCATGGTTTCCTCGGAGAATAGTAATCCGCTGAGGATACCGTACTTTCAAGGCAACTAACAGCTGGGAATGGGAAAAAGAGTTGCAAATAACTGTTACTTCACATCATAACCCATAATAAGCAAATCAACTGAAACAGCACAACAGCAAGGCCTCTGGATGATTAATTCAGTTTAGTATGGCATGCAAAGACATCGCTGGTATGGGAAACAAAGATATATTATTTAAGCCAAAAGAAGAAATAAATAAAAAATACCATCACAAAAAAATTAAAACATTTCAGACAAAGTAGATAGGAAAAATCCAGTATGTAAACAATACATTTAATAGCAAATATATCTTTCGACTTTGAACAAAAAACACACTGAATGAAAAGACTGCCAGAAGATGGTATAGACAAATCTTCTTACCGTAACAGTTTCAACAGAATAATATCCACGGTCCACATAGTCTCCCATAAACAGATAATTGGTATCTGGGCACTGCCAACACGAGTAAATGTACAATCATCAGATTACAAAGAGCATAGTTGTTGACAGGCGAACAGAAAATATAAAACTGAATCTGAAATATATCTAGCATACACAATTAATCAGAACTTTCAATCCCCTGGTTAAATGCAATAATTGCTAATACAGATGTATGGTTGTGTGTGCACCTAGAGTAATTACCTTTCCCCCTATACGGAATAGCTCGGCAAGATCATGGAACTGTCCATGAATGTCACCGCAAATTGTCACAGGGCTTTTCACAGGCTGCATGCAGGGGAAAATTGAGTTACTCTCCTTGGGCGAAACAATAAGGAATATATGAACGGAAATTAATTCACTGCAAAGCAATTGTAATCACCAAGATAGACGAAAAACTAAAACAGGCAAACATGTCAAATAGAGAGAGATGAGAGATCAAGAACTGACCTGAACGTTGCTTTCTTCCATCAAGATCTCCTTGGCTTTCTCACATAATGCTCTAACCTAAGGAAACAAAATAAACTGCACATGATAATTTCTCATTTCACCTCTTTTACTTGTAAAGAATAACATATACACATACTAACGATCACTATAACAAACAAAACTTGAAAACATTAATAGTAGAGACACAAACTTGACACAAGCAGCAACCACCTCTAAAAAATATTGATTGGGTTTCACTCAATATTAGCTCCATAAGGTCTTTATCGAGTTGGAACATCTCTTACACCAGCAAGAACTGTTTTTCTTGGATTTCTTTTCATTGTCCTAAAATACGGCCACAGATGCAGCTAACTAGACGCAAGAAGACCGAAATCTTATCCACACCAAATCACCAGCTTCATGACCAAAAATTTTAACGCAAGCCACCGGGAACCAAGTAATCAGACGAACCTGCATTATCAGGCACATAAAAATGCGAACATAGACGCCCGTATTACCCCTACAGATTCAGAGCCCGATGCAGCCAAAATTCACTATAAAACAATACAATCAAGCCCATTTTCCTCGCCCCGTAAAACTACGAAGAAATGAACACCACGCGAGAATATATACATAAGAAGAGATCTGCCATTTCCGGAAAATCTCCATTTGGTTGAATCAAACCCCCCGAAATAAAACCCAATAATCACATACTCGAAGAAAACTCAAAAAGATAACCACTCTCCGAAACATGATGGGAGATCCAAGCACCGATACCAACCCACGAGCTAAAATCCGGATCCAATTAACCACCGGAAAACGAGAGAGGGCAATAGCAACAATCTAAGTTACAATAGGGAGCACCTGTTGCTCTGAGAGGGGCTTGCACTGCATGAGCTGCGAGATCTGCTCATCGAGATCGAGGGTTGAGTTTGCTCATGTCTTGTATTGTCTTTGTGATATCTAGTATTCTTCACAAATAGTTTGGAAGTCACATTCCCCTTGATTAAGTTAATTTAATTGCTTCTATCTTTTGGTCCTTCGTTTGGCAGCTTTCCTAACTGTAGTGGTTCATTTGGCAAGTGAAATGGGAAAGAGAAAGCAGTTGACATAAATTAACACTGTACATATTGATTATTGACTGTTAGTGAATAATATATAAAATAAAACGTACGGGTGCTTCTCTAGAAAATATAGATCTGTTTGAGACAGATGCCTCAGCTTTATAGCTGCTCAAATGATTGCTCTGACTCGTAATGCTGCAGTGATAGTTTGCCTATAGATGCAATTGAAAATTGAGAACTCAGTAAATTTTCCTGATTTCATAAAATGGTGAGCATTAGTGGCATAAAATAGACACCTTTGCATGTCGATAGTATTTCAATATCCTTTACTATTTCCCCCTCCTCAAGGATAGTAAGAACCTTCTATGGTTCCGATCCGGAAAACAGATCAGAAACCGGGACGAGGTTTCCAGATTAGGGATTGCCCTGACCCTAAATTGGATGGATTCTGCGCTTTCTCCGCTTTCCAACTCTCTCTCCTCTCTCTCTCTCGCTCGCTTGGTGTGCAGTGGAAGGATCGAGAAGAGAGGGCGCGTGAGAAGACAGGCGAGTGGGTTTGTAGGCTCCCAGCCATTGAGCAAATTATCATAATACCCTTAAGACTGAGTTATCTATTCAAATTTCGTATGGGTAAAATGGGCAAAGCATAAAATTCTTTTATTTACGGGCAATCATCCAACTCCTAACCACGACCATAAAGATGAGAGCCACGTATGATAATACTCTTTGATGTCTGTGAATGAAAACTTAAATACCTTGTTGTTATTGTCAATGCAAATAAATCATAATCAAAATCCTTGCGAGAAGGGCTGTCCACTTCGGTTAATCGAATCGAATAATGTTCGATTTTAATTTAATATATTTTTTTTATAAAATCAAATAAACTGTTCTCGAATCGAACTATATAAATATCGAACATAAATTCGGTAAATATCGAATTAAAATCCAAATTATCCATATATAAATATTATAGTTTAATATTTATTTGGTCTTTATATAATGATATTATTTTGAACCGAACCGAACCGTTTAATATTCGGTTTTATTTTGGTACAATTTTGATAAAATTGAAAATACTTTTCTCTTTTCACCAAAAAATACCGTTATGGAACCAAACTACTTGAATACTAATAAAAAACCGAAACACTCATCCTTCTTATAACGAATCAGATCTCATTTTTGTTTCTAAATAACTAAAGGTATCAAACGAACCAGCTCGAATCGTTTTAGGCTCGGCTCATTTAGCTCGGGTCGTTTTAGGCTCAGCTCATTAGATTCGTTTTCAAACAAACTAGAAAAATCTCGATTCAAATCGCTCGTCAGTTTTTTGAGTTGAACGAATCAACTCGCTAAGTCATAGATATATAATATTTTTTTTATTTATATTTATTTTAAATTTAACGATAAATTAAAATAAAATATATAAAAAATAAATAAAACTTCAATATCATAAACTACATAATAAAAATATTGGTTGGAATTTTGAAAGATAGAAAAAATAATCTAACAATGGCTCAATAAAACATAAATTAACAAGATAATAACAACAAAATATATTTCAATAATATTTTCATATTTATATTCTGATTTTTATTTAATATTTTCGACTATCACCACCATAATAATTGGAATACTTAGAATATCACAAGAAAAAAGAGAAATATAAAATTTTGTTATAGTGTTTTTATATAAAATTTAATTTTTTTTTTGAAAAAAAGTCCAGTTCATTGAGTAGTTCGCAGAGTTAGTTCGTTACAACTACGAATTCAATGAGCTGACTCGTCAGACTCGTTTTTAAATGAGCTGAAAAAATCATGGCTCAATTCACTCGTTTTCTGGCGAGTTACGAGTCGGCTCGCGGACCGGACTCGTTTTAACACCCCTATAAATAACATATTTAATTGATATTTATTAATTAATTTTTAAAAAGTTATATATTGATAAAAAAAAATTTAGTTTAAATTCATATTCTATTCGATATCTTCTTTTACCTCTGAATCAAAATAGAATATGTATCATCGCTAAATCTATAGTAATAAATAAAATTTTAAATTATACCAAAACCCCTAAAAGAAAAAAAGATGGAGCTGTGAAGTCGAGATATGCCAAGTCAATGTCTTTGGTTTTTAGACATCAAAGTAAAGTAACAATGTATAATATACTAGTTGGAGATAGACTGATAGAGACCGATATTTCAGTACGGTTTTTTAAATCCAACTGTATCTAATAGAATTATTATTTTTATTCGATCTGTTTAAAATTTTTAAACGATATTATTTTTAAAAAACTAAATTTTTTAAAATCGAATCGAACCGAATCTTAAAAAACCGAAAAAATTGATTATTTAGAAAATATAACTTTTTCAATAAAAATCCAAACTAAACTAAACTAAAAGTGAATTCGAACCGAATATAATATAATAAACGAGTTATATATATAGTGGGGAAACCAAAAAATCGTAATGAATCATTTTCGAAAGAAATGCTCAGCGGTAGATGCCACAATTTCTTGGGAATTGGACCCCACCCATCCAAAATCCTCCTCCACAGCTTAGTATTCTCCTTCTATATTTCGATTATTCAAATTGCTTATAAATTACATATTTAGACATAAATAATAGATATATATATATATGGCCTTTCGTGTATACATATTTTAAATGTGATCCGAAATTCAACAGGCATAGTTATGAATTATATGTATGATATAAGCTTCGCTCTGTTATTACAGATTTGGATATTTATTTGGTTCACATATATTCCGATGCAATTAATAGACACAAAGTGTACTATTTTGTAAGAGATCAGGTGCTCAATAACTCGCCGACATGCAATCCAGTACGATATAACCAAAACGACGCGCAGTCTGGCAGTAGATAATTTCAAAACGGCGAGAAATCCGAATCAACAATTGTCAAGTAAAATATCTATCGACTCGTTTGGGAGTCATCTCTTCCTACCTATGATTCTATCGCTCTGCGTAAAATCACAGACCTATTTTCACGCGTTGTGTCCGATCCAAAAGGGAAGAAAGAATTTAGGGTTTTGCTCCCGACGAGCTTTTCCGTTGGATGCACGATTACCGTTGATTTCTTCGATTCGATTCTCTCTACCGAGTATTGAGGTTTCTCTTTCTATATCCCCCTCTCTCTGGGTTTGCGCAGATGCATTTCTCGATTTCGATTTTCAGCTAGGGTTGATTGCTGTTTGCATTACGTTTCTCTCTTTTGAGGTAGAAAATTTTCGTCTGGTTTTGCGTGAATCTAATGACATTTGCTTTTCTTTTTCGATTTTTCGTGGTTGGAATATGCTCTTATCGGATTATCGATTTTTCTTTGGATTCGTCCGAGTTACACTTTGAATTTGATTAGGTTATATGGATTTCCCAGCTTGTTTGTAGGTTTGATGGGTCCCCTCTATTTTATACACACAACTGTGATTAATTTCGGGAATTGTATCTGTTCTACCTGGAACCTGTTTGGTCTTTACCAGGGTTTTTCAATTTTCATCTACGGGAAAAGATATATAAAGCAAAGGGAGTATCTTCTAGGTTTTGATTATCGCTTTTCCATGGCAAGTTACAGGTTATTTTGGTCTTAGCGTGATACATTGCAATTATGAGTGCGTCATGGGCAGATGCTGCTGAATCAGAGAAGGCGGTCTCTGGATCTTCTAGTAACAATTCTCAGCCATCACGACCAGCCTATGTTCCTCCGCATCTGCGGAACAGGCAATCGTCTACTGAACAGGTTGCTCCTGCACCAGGAAATGATCGTGGTGGTCCACCTGGCGGTTCTCGATTTGCGGCTGGTTATGGTGCTGGTGGTGGCGGTTACAGGCCAGATGCAGGGCGTCCTGGATATGGTTACGGTGGACGAGGAGGTGGTGGTTGGAACAACAGAAGTGGAGGGTGGGACCGTAGGGAGCGTGAAGTTAATCCATTTGGTGACGATGCTGAGTTAGAACAACCACCCTTTACTGAGCAGGAGAATTCAGGCATTAACTTTGATGCCTATGAGGATATTCCGGTCGAGACAAGCGGGGACAATGTGCCTCCTCCCGTTAATACCTTCGCTGAGATAGACCTTGGGGAGGCACTAAACCTAAATATCCGGAGATGCAAATATGTCAAGCCGACACCTGTTCAGCGTAATGCAATTCCAATATTGATTACAGGGAGGGATTTGATGGCTTGTGCTCAGACCGGATCTGGGAAGACAGCTGCCTTTTGTTTTCCAATAATTAGTGGAATTATAAAAGAACCATATGTGCAGAGACCACACGGTTCGCGTACAGTCCACCCTCTTGCAGTCATCCTCTCACCAACAAGAGAATTGGCATGCCAGGTATTGGTTTTTCCAACATCAAGATTCTATTTATTTTCAAATTGAATGATGTTTCTTTTAAATAATTTGCATATTTCATTCTATATATTTTCTGCAGATTCATGATGAAGCCAGAAAGTTCTCCTATCAAACTGGTGTGAAGGTTGTTGTTGCCTATGGAGGAACACCAATTAACCAGCAGGTCTCTAGTGCGTGAAATTATAATTTTCTTGCTTTGAAGACTGTGACTTGTGAAATTGCTATATGCCTGCTGTCTGTTTGTATGTGCTGTCTTTTATGCTTGGTGATTTGGTTCTTTCTAGCTATTTAAAAACACATTCCAGTCTTCCTATCATTTCTCTTGTGGTTTGGTTGATTTATCTGAACAGATGAAAATTATTCATGACCTCTATCAATATGAGACCTTACTGAAAAATTGTTATGTTGGCTTCATTGCATGTGTTAGGTTTATCCACTCTCCAGCATCGATTTTCTGATTTCCTGTTTTGTTGTTTGTACAGCTCCGAGAACTTGAGAGGGGAGTTGATATTCTTGTGGCTACTCCTGGAAGATTGAATGATTTGCTTGAGAGAGCTAGAGTCTCGTTACAGATGATTAGATTTTTAGCTCTGGATGAGGCAGATAGGATGCTGGACATGGGTTTTGAACCCCAAATAAGAAAGATTGTTGAACAGATGGACATGCCTCCACGCGGAGTTCGACAGACAATGTTGTTCAGTGCTACTTTTCCAAGAGAGATTCAGGTTTGCTTTACTTGTCTATGACACATGCCTCCTTATTGTTGCATTCATTGTTTTGTTGGTTGGTACCTAAATAATTGATCAATCTCTTAGCTACCCATGCGTATTGCTCTTACATTTCCCTCTTTAAGTCTCTTTGCTCATGTCTTGTATTGTCTTTGTGATATCTAGTATTCTTCACAAATAGTTTGGAAGTCACATTCCCCTTGATTAAGTTAATTTAATTGCTTCTATCTTTTGGTCCTTCGTTTGGCAGCTTTCCTAACTGTAGTGGTTCATTTGGCAAGTGAAATGGGAAAGAGAAAGCAGTTGACATAAATTAACACTGTACATATTGATTATTGACTGTTAGTGAATAATATATAAAATAAAACGTACGGGTGCTTCTCTAGAAAATATAGATCTGTTTGAGACAGATGCCTCAGCTTTATAGCTGCTCAAATGATTGCTCTGACTCGTAATGCTGCAGTGATAGTTTGCCTATAGATGCAATTGAAAATTGAGAACTCAGTAAATTTTCCTGATTTCATAAAATGGTGAGCATTAGTGGCATAAAATAGACACCTTTGCATGTCGATAGTATTTCAATATCCTTTACTATTTCCCCCTCCTCAAGGATAGTAAGAACCTTCTATGGTTTAGTTTTTCAGACTTGATCATGGTGTCCTGCTTTGTCTGTGACACAAGCTGCATAATATTAAGCGCTATAATGTTTTGATTTTTAGGTGTCACTGTCGTTTTATTTATTTTTAAAATATTTGCTTTTTTGTTTCATGTGCAGAGACTTGCGTCTGACTTCCTGTCAAACTATATATTTCTGGCTGTTGGAAGGGTGGGTTCAAGTACCGATTTGATTGTCCAAAGAGTAGAGTTTGTTCATGAATCTGATAAGAGAAGCCATCTTATGGACCTGCTTCATGCACAGAGAGAGAATGGCATCCAAGACAAGGTAATTTGATACTGATTCTCGAAAGCTAGTGTTTTGCAAATTCTTTTAGAGGATGTTATCTAATTGTTTACATGTCAAATATTTATTATTAACGTAATTGTGTCATTTTGTCATATAGAAATATGTTTTAAGTGTACTATTGATTGTTTTCTTCTCTACCATAATTTACAGCATGCTCTGACACTAGTTTTCGTGGAGACAAAGAAAGGAGCGGACTCATTGGAACATTGGCTGTGCATGAATGGGTTTCCAGCAACCTCCATTCATGGTGATAGATCACAGCAGGTTGGTTAGTCAATCGAAGTTGAAATTCTTGGTGGAGACCAAACTAATCATTCCGATTTTAAAATTTTAAAAAAAGTTGAGGACATCCGACATTGTCAATGAATATATAGTCCCGTAATACGATACTTTAAATAAGAATGTTGCTCTGAACTTCGAAGTAGCTGTCCGAATATAAACTCTTGCCATTCAGAAGTTTGTTTTCCGTGTGACTGTAGTTGACATGTCGGTGTTTTACAAAGTTGTGTTTTGTGATGCAATACCAGGAAAGAGAAGTGGCGCTGAGGTCATTCAAGACGGGGAGGACACCCATCTTGGTTGCAACGGACGTAGCAGCACGTGGCCTCGACATTCCACACGTGGCTCACGTCGTGAACTTTGATCTACCAAACGACATAGATGACTACGTCCACCGCATAGGACGGACAGGGCGTGCAGGGAAGTCGGGAGTAGCGACCGCATTCTTCAATGACAACAACACATCGCTTGCCAGGCCACTAGCAGATCTGATGCAAGAAGCAAACCAGGAGGTGCCCGAATGGCTCACTCGCTATGCATCACGTGCTTCTTATGGAGGTGGTAAGAACCGCCGGTCAGGTGGGCGGTTCGGTGGCCGTGACTTCAGAAGGGAAGGGTCTTTCAGTAGAGGCGGTGGCGACTACTACGGCGGTGGAGGATATGCTGGGGCTGCCCCAGGTGGCAGCAGCGGCGGCTACAGCAAGGGAAGGGTCTTTCAGGAGAGGCGGTGGCGACTACTACGGCGGTGGAGGATATGCTGGGGCTGCCCCAGGTGGCAGCAGCGGCGGCTACAGCCACGGCCCAGGAGTGACCAGTGCTTGGGATTAGGCTCCTCCCAAAATTTTCTCTTTTTAACCCTTCTTATGTACTTCTCTTATATATCTATATATATATAAGGGAGTATATGTATCGCCTTCTTCAGATTTCAGAGGTGGGATATAAACTAATATTGGTGGTAGGTGGAATCTTTTTTGGGTTTGATTTCTAGGCTATTTTTAGGACTGCCCCTCAAAAATAGTCTCCTTCAGTCAAAGTGGTTCTTCCTTTGTTTGGTTTCTTCTAACAAATTCATTTGTTAGTTCGAAATCTCAGGTTTTTTGTTTTTCAATGAAACAAGACTTTCTATGTGAAATACCAAATGTTGAAACTTTTTTTTCATATTCCAGTTTGATATTCCTGCAAATAGTCTCTGTGACAAAAGATACAGCAGAAATTGGAAAAATTTATGTATCATTCCTCTTCTCCTTCTGAATCATCTTCAAAGTCACTGCCTTCAACAATCTCTTCTTCCTCTTCTGAACCTTCATCCAAGGGCTCATTCTCCGGCTCATCGAGGGATATGACACTAGGAGACACCATGCCCAGCCCTCTACCCCGGTATAGAAACCCTGTTCTCATCACATGATAAAACTTATCTCTAAGTCGAGCCAGAGGATGTGGATCTACCAGCTTCCCCCTACGGTACCCTTCTTTGAGGGTCACGGTCGTGGTCTTGCACTTCAACGACAGGTAGAAGATACCCGGGTATCTCGTGAATAGACGAGTGAACTTCTGCGGGAGTATCAGCTCCTCTCTCATGCTCCTCAAGTAATTCCTCTTTGTCTTCTTGTGGATCGTCAAGCTCAGAAACTCATGAAGGACGCCCACAGCACGTTTCTCCATAAGCTCGCTGTCCGGGTCGATGTTCCTCGTGTCTTCGTACGGCGATATGTATGGGAGTTTCTGGAACTCCTCCATCCACGCCCTTACCTTCTTCTGTGCTCCATATCCCCTCGGAAAGTTCATCTGGAAAGCCAACGAGGTTTCGCCTCTTTTGAACTGTCTATACTCGTCCCCTGTTCCACTGGTCTCGTTTCTCCCCTGCAGGGCCGAGACTGTGAATTCCTCTCGCCACTTTGTCAGCTTCAAACAGGGAATACCATTTGAGGCCTTGACGAAGCGGAAATGATCAGGGTATTTCGGGACGAATGTCTTCTCATAGTTGTCGGGTAAACCCAGATCAAACTTGAGGGAATGCAGAGATTGGAGAGATGCAGTCCTGCTTCTCATCATCATCAGAACTCTACATAGCCTCTCCACTGTATCTGCCTCACGACTCTGGTGAATGTTTTCTTCTTGAGCGTCAAGCAAGTGTGCCGTATCGGTTAACTTGAAGCACGGCAAGCTCGCGTAACGGGCATGCGGGAATTCGTGAAACAGAGTCGGATACCTACCAGGAAACCCGAAAAGGATTTGATGATCATATAAGCATTCTACGAGTTCTTCACCAGATCAAACCCACAAAGATTGTCACTTTAGAAGAGCCAAACGCACACTACGAGATGGGCAATAAAGAGATTCGTGGAAGGGGAGTAGATACCTACGCAGGAAGCGGAGAACCGGCACGGTGAGCCCGAGGAGCTTCTGCCAATCGGCGACGGACTTTGCGGTGAGGAAACCGGTGGTAGAGCGCTTGATCGCGTCCTTGAGAAGACAAGCCGCTTTGAGATCAGTCTCGATGTCGATGATGTGATCCAGGCCTCTGTTCTTAACCCATTTCAGCCTCACCTTGGTAATCCCTCGCCATTGTTGATGCTGGTGAAAGAGCCTTTGCACAGAAAAGAAAAAGCTTTGGGTTTTGACGAACATGTAAACCCGAGAGAAATGGCGCGAAGTTGTGCAAATGAAAGCTGATAAAAATGGCTGCTTTGCAATCGAAAGGGCGAAATGGGTCCGCTAGGTCCTAATTAGGGTTTCTCACCAAGGACAGACAAGTGAAATGCTGACAATGTGTTCGACGAAATGACCAAGCGAGTTTCAAACGCAATGCCAATAACAGTTCGGCATCACTTTTACGCATCAACTAACGTGGCATGTAATAACATCATGATTCTCAATTGACATGCTTCCATATAAATCATGGCCCACCTTCTGTAATTTCCAGTCTCCATTTCCATGAAATGCTCTATCCTAAACTGTTTAAAACGACGGCGTTTTGGGTATCTATTTCCATGCTGCTGCTAGTCTCGGCGAAGGCGAGGGATCGGCCGGTAGAGAGAGAAAATCACGAAGCTTTGGTTCGAGAAGTATGGAAGCGGAGAAATTGAGAGAAGAGGAAGAGATGTTGAAGAGAGAGATTGTACTGACAGTGATGAAAATAGTGAGCACGAGATTGCCTCAGAGAGATCTCGTCACTCTCCTTCTCGTGAGCCCTTGGCTTTACCGTACCCTCGTCTCATACCCTTCAATCTGGCTGGTAAACGAGCTTGTCTATTTCTTCCCCAGGTTTCAAATTTTGCATCTTTTTACACTATTCTGATCTGGGTTTTGTTTGTTTTCTCTCAGACAATCGATTTGCGCGAGATGACCAATGCCGGGGATCGGCTCCTAGCTGCTCTTTCCTTGGTTAGTTTAGAAAAGTTTCAGCCCTTTTTTTGTTACTTTATCAAAAAGACTGAACAAGAATTCGTGGGAAATTCTTGTTGTTGAAGTGTTTGGAGGGTTTGATCATGGAAGTGACTCTCTATGTGTTTTCAATATTGCAGCCAAGATATCGGCAAGTGAAACAAATTAACCTTGAATTCGCTCAGGGTATTGATGACAAGCATCTTGAACTTGTGAAGAAGAAGGTAATGTTTTGACGATTCCAGGCCGGGTTTTGTTCTTTCCTTACCAAATAAAAATCTGTAGGATACAATGATACAACGTAACTTTCTGCTTTTTGGATGTTTGTTGGATGGAATTTTGATAATACGAGAAATGTATCTGACCACCTAATCAGTTCTTTGGATGTGTTTCATTATGTATTGATTGGTTGCAGCAGTGCCGAGATGCTCTTTCAAACTTAGATTGCTTAAACCTGAATGGATGCCAAAAGATCTCGGACAAAGGGATCGAAGCTATAACTAGCATATCTCCTAAGCTAAAAGTTTTCTCTATCTATTGGAATGTGAGGTGATACTGCAGTCTGATTAATTTTCATGGTTTAGCTTATTATGTGTATTGAGACTAGCCTCAATCTAGATTTTATTTTGAAGGGTGACTGATATTGGCATTAATCATCTGGTGAAGAACTGCACACATATTGTTGACTTGAATCTTAGTGGTTGCAAGGTGCCTCCTGATTGCTTTGTTATTGAGATTTCATTTCCGATATAGCTCTGTAAATTATGACCATGTTATATATATAAACTAACTTTTCTTATGCTTCCTTTCTCTCCGGCTTTGGGTGATGAATTTGATTTGTGTCTGCATCTTATCTCTAATAAATTCGGCTGACAAGAATAATTTGCAGAACCTAACAGACAAAAGTATGCAGCTAGTAGCTGAAACTTATCAAGAATTAGTGTCCCTGAACCTCACCAGGTAAGTTTATGATGTCTTATTTTTTTTTGTTTATTGCCTATTCATGTGGAAGGAAAAGCTTATTATAGGCTGACACTGTACTGCTGGTAATCAACTTCCAAAATATTGTTGGATGAATTATCATTCTGCATTTGCTAATTGCCAATAAGATGGAAGCATGATCTTCTTGTGTTTGGTCTAATTGGTTCGTGAAACCACCAGGTGTGTCAAAATTACGGATGATGGATTGCTTCAAGTGCTACTCAAATGCTCGTCTCTCCTGAGTTTAAATCTTTATGCTCTTTCAAGGTATGGTTGCGTATTTGTACTGTTTTGCTACTTTTTCTGAGATTTGAAACTGATAGTATAATTCATGCAGCTTTACAGACAAAGTCTACAGGAATATATCTCTTCTAGCCAACCTAAGGTTCTTAGATCTATGTGGTGCCCAGGTACAAGTTGGTGAATCCCTGTTAGATTTCTTGCACCCAGATGTACTAGAGATAATATTCATTCTCCAGTCGGATCTAATAGATGATTTTGTTGGATCTTGGTTTCGGCTATATCCAAGCTTGTTAGATTTTTATGTCGTTTTTTGGAAGAATACATTTATTGGATGTCTTGTTTATCCCTTACTGGCTGCCTAGATTTACTCCGGATTAGATTGCTAACAAACATCCTAGCAGAAAAACTGAGATACTAATTCTGATTTCATCTTTGGTGAGAATATGTGACTAAGAAAGGTTTATTCTTGTGGTCAGAATTTATCGGATGAAGGGCTTGCTCTTATAGCTAAATGCGACAAGTTAGTGTCTCTCAATTTGACATGGTAAGCAAAAGTCTTTAACTTTAGAGAAAGATAAGGAGCAAAAAGCTGCTACTTATCCCTTTCCTAATGCTTAATCAAAGTTCTTCTAACTTTGGCAGGTGTGTGCGTATCACAGATTCAGGTGTCATTGCCATTGCTAACAGTTGCACCTCACTTGAATTTCTTAGGTAGTTCTCTGTGATTTAGAAACTTTATCGTCTTGTATGGCATGATTGTTTTTGCTTATATCGCTCTTGTAAAAAAAAATTGCAGCTTGTTTGGAATAGTAGGAGTGACTGATAAATCTCTGGAGACCCTCTCCAAGACCTGCTCGAATACTATCACGACTCTTGATGTTAACGGTTGCATCGGCATTAAGGTGGGAACCATCACTTTTACGCATCAACTAACGTGGCATGTAATAACATCATGATTCTCAATTGACATGCTTCCATATAAATCATGGCCCACCTTCTGTAATTTCCAGTCTCCATTTCCATGAAATGCTCTATCCTAAACTGTTTCTCTTTACTACATAATACCTACACATATGGTAACTTCTGCAGAGACGGAGTCATGAAGAATTGCTTCAACTGTTCCCTCGGCTGACATGCTTCAAAGTGCACAGCTAACTTGCTGCTATTCTAGGACTCTCAACAAATGTATTACCTCGTACCAAACCAAAGGCAAGTAGCTTCACATTCAGCTTCTCATTTCAGTGATGCTCAGTCTTAATGTGATCCTAATTCCTAAGCAGAATACAAGTGTTCTCAATGTGTTTTTATTGAGCAAATAATAACAAGCCACCATGTAATTATGGAGATACCTTTGGATACATATAATTTATGACCATAGATGTATCAAATCTTAGTAAATGATGAGTTCAAATGCCATGCTGCAAGGGCATCCCTAAACTCAACCGCCTCATGTCTCTCCCTCTGAAGCTTGAACTTGCAGACTCCTGCGATTATTTTATTCAATTTGGCATGCTTTGCTTCTTCTTTTTCTTCTTTTTGGTTCCAAGAACAGGCAGGTGCGATATACTTGAAATATCATTACCTCCATTCCACTGTTCTGTGATCCAATGAACTGCTTAAAAACCTGAGCATCAGCTGAATCTAGAGGCAAATGCAAAAGCTCTTCTTGCAAGAAAAATGAAATAACAATAAAGAGGCAATTGTTCTCTTCCTTTTCCAAGATAATTCTGCTGGAACATATGGATATTTTGAAATCTCATCTGGGCACTGTGACAACATTTGCAGGTAACATGGTGAATGGAAGGGAGGCTCATAGCAAGGTTGGTGTCCACTCTGAACCCTAAGGATGGATCATCTCTGTCCTGGACAAGGGTACATAGACATCTATCTCTTGGTCTGGCCTTTGATTTCTTCCTTTCTATCTCAAGTGTGCTGCAGCATGAGGGTCTGGAGTCATCCCTTTATTTTCCTAGCAAACATCATCAACGTTGTTACCCACATAGAATCAACAGCTGTTGAGTTTGATTGTAACCCATGAGTCTAGACGCTGGTTTGTGGACAAAAGTTGCTCAGTACCCAATATATATGCCAAAGTTCACATTACATTCAGAGATGCACCTTTTTCACTCAGTGTTCCTTCCTTGAATAACAAGAAACCTGATTTTACAGAGACCTCTTTTTTTTTTATGAATTTTGTTTACAAGAGACCTGATCGCACTTCACACGAATAATATAAAAAAAACGTGTTGAATTACAAGAGACGGTTGAAATGTTTGGTTAGAGGTTGGTGTTGGTGATTGTCTAATTTCACAATCTCGGCAAGACAATATTAACGAGGAATGAGGAGAGTATGCAGAGCCAACGCTCCACACCACAACTCATTTACTGGTGCAGAAAAGTTGCGAATTTTCAGGGAAAGATGACCAATTCCCAGCAGAAGTTCACTTGCGTTATCAAGAATATCTGAATTCTTGGCCCAGGAACCAATTAAACTAATCCAACAGACGAAATAGATGCAAAGAGGATGTATTCCGACCGTGAAGGGCAAAAACAGCCTCCACCCACTAGATTTTCTTGAGGAATTTAAGGTTTACAATGTTACAGTAATTGTAGGG